GATTCACTGGGTCAACCCTATATAGAAAAGAGCTATCACACATGATTCTAAGCCTATTAATTAAAAAGTTGTATTTGGCCATGTTAATTATGCAAATTAGCTCATTAAAAATGTTCCCCAAAGTTGGCGTTGTGCCAACAAAGCTAAAAATCTTCCAGACATGGATATGAATACATATCAATAAAAAAACCTTGAACTATTAAAAATTTCTTGGTTCGCTATTCTGCAACTGGACTATTATGCTGTACACAAACAAACCCACAAACCCACAAACCCACAAACCCACAAACCCACAAACGAACAAACACACGCCGGTGAAAACATGGCGGAGGTAATAAAATGGCCGTGGTATGTATTGTTAGCGTTGGACCCGTTAATTGCGAGGTTTAATATGCAATGTGGAAATTCGGGATCGCCAGAAAAAATAGACTAACCTAGAATCATTTAAATCGTTCTATCTTCGTGCATCCTTCTTGCAAGGAATGTTTCCGACAAAGAAAGGAACAAACGAGTCTACATATTAATGGCATAGCCCAACCGACGCTACTGCTGTACTGGCTGTTGTATGTCGAGCCCATCCCTGCTATGTACGGTTAAATTTATCACCTAGTGTGTGCGCGTGCGCGTGCGTGCTCGTACGTCTGTGTGTGTGTGTATTTGCGTTACCCGCGTGTGCATGTATGCGCACATATACGTTCGCGCACGCGTATCTGTCTGTCTGTCTGTCTGTCTGTCTGTCTGTCTGTCTGTGTGGCGTGTATACAACGCTGTTCTTTAAATGTGATATTATTATAAATACCAAATTTAAATAACAAAGTTGTGGAGCCCGAAAGCATCATATATCTTACATTGTGAAGCCGTCGATGGTTCTCAACTGGCTATCGACGCGCGCTTTGTCCCCTAACATGACTGTTATATATTATAATTATATATAATATGTCATTAGAATTCAGCAGATGTTCAAAAAAGCAAGCGTGCTCGGGTCATACGACTGTTCCTATCAGCTCTTGTGAGGTCAAAACGTAACATCTAGCATTAAACGTATAGCGTCAAACATATGGCGTCAAACGTATAACATTATAACATATATGTTATATGGTCAAATATATAACGCTCAACATATAACATCACACACATAACATCAAACCTATAGTGGCAAACAGATAACGTTCTACATGTAGCAGCAAACATATAGCGTTAGACATATATAGCAGTAACGTTTAACACGTAACGTCAAACAAATAACGTTCAACATATACGTTCAACATATACGTTCAACATATACGTTCAACATATACGTTCAACATATACGTTCAACATATATGTTCAACATATAACGTCAAATACATATCATCAAACCTATAGCGGCAAGCGTATAATAACAGACATGTAGCGTCAAACATATACCGTCAAACATATACCGTCAAACATATAACGTTCAACATATAGCTTTCATCATATAACGTCAATTGAGCTCTTTAAATATTGTTAAATTCTCTGAATGTTTTTAACTTTCCTTGCGCACATGCCGTGATCATGGTTATCTATATGAATGTTATGGTATCGCTATTGGTTTCGTTAAGTGAGTTTTTTTTTTAAATGTAATATTTGGTGCTAGATTGTAAACATTTTTTAGAAATATTATCTTTTTTGTGCTTTGGTTAATCTGTGGAGCTTGCGGGGGACTCGTATGAAAACCCCAAAACTTGTTTATTCGTGTAGGCTACACTATTGTTGTATTCTGTTTGAGGGTTTAGCTCCTGTGATATTTGTTGCATGACCTGAAAATTAATCTATAGCAGCTTCACATATACAATTTATACACGTGCAACCATCTCCGTCCGTCTTCTACTCTCTGCCCTCTTGCTGCACCTTTCTATGTGCCTTTTCTATATGCTGTTATCTCATTTCTTTGCCTGCATAACGTCTCCGTCTGTCCGCTTCATCTTGCGGCTACCTCTACAGCCTACATCGACGCTCCCATCGGCGACGAAGAGCAGTCGCAGTGGATAGTCCGGTTGGCTTTTTTCGTTGATCTTAGGCGGCTAGTAGAGCATAGCGAATACCGGGTCGAACATCCTCTGTTCCTCTCCTCTGTTGTATTCTGATCGTGGTGTTCGCTGGGGGTTTAGCTCAGTGGTAGTAGTAAGGTGTAGAAACGATGAGATTTATTACATATTTTACATAATATACAATTTATGCACGTACAACCGTCTCCGTCGGTCCCTCGTTGTCGTCAACTTTCTACCCCCTCGGTGTCCCGCTCTATGTGCCTTCGATCTCGACCTGCTGTCTCCATCTCTCCCTCTCCAACTCTTCTTAATAATAGAGCCGACTTTTATGCCTGCACCTAGCATTCCCGCGCTAATCTAAAAAAAATTCATTGTTACCGGAATGCCAGGATGGGTAATGCTTTATCGTATCAACGGTTTCCCTACGAATTGTGGGTGGTGATCACACCGGTCGCGTCTATCTCTCACCTAGTCCTAGACCACAACGACAGCTATAATTACAAGGACGTGCCTGTTGCAAATTACAACAAGGCGGTATCTGCTGCTACTGTGTCTTGTTTTATTAGTGATATAAGCTGCATTATTCGCTCTCTCTCTATATTATAGTCTCTATTATTCACTTCAGATGTTATGAATATACCTTCTTGTTTCAGAGAGCGGGGAGATTCTGTTTGGTCACATACATTTTCAAACACCCGGCATGGAGTCATCGTTGCCTCCGAAATCTCCCCGTGTGCAGGCTAGACACAGAATCTCCAGCGGGGCGAATGGAAACTCTGCAGCACAACATGGCCCGTCTAACACAGAGTCACCCATGCCCACTGAGGTAATAAACCTCGTACACTCTCTCTCTCACACACACACACACACACACACACACACCACACACACAACACACACACCACACAGCACTCAACACCAGCACAGCATATGGCGTCTTGGGACGCCAGACAACATCACACGCACCACCACTACACACGTCTACAACACACACACGCCACCACCACGACAAACACGACACACGCAGCACGCCACATCCAGTGCCAGCCCACGCACAACGCACACGCACCGGACGCCCACGCGGGACAGAACAACACACAACAGCACGACCACCACACACATCCACACACCAAACAACACACCCACCACACACCACCAGCACACAACATATATATATAGTATATAATATATATCATATATTGTCCACGTTGGCACACATTCCGAACACATATGTTCTAATTCCAGATAACAAAGCCAAAATGTTGTCTACAAAGAAATTAACATTTTTTATTCGAAAGTGTCTAAAACAACCGCAATCCGTTTTGGTATCTGAAAACTAACACACTGCGGCTCCTCTTCTCTGATTGGCTAACTTTTGTCACTAATTTTCATTTATTATTAATATTTTGGCTAATTTTATTTTATTTTAGAATTAGGGAATAGGGCCCTACCCCTGACGGGTTGCCTACTGATGATCTGGCTGATGGCTCTAGCTGATTATGTGCGCGAGGCGGACGCATGGGGAGACAGTTGTTAGATATCGGCGAGTCGGTGGCCGGTAGGGGTTTACGGTTAGAGGGGTTGAGGGTTAGTGTTAGGTGATAAGGAGTTAGGAGTTAGGGTCTACCTAGCATGTACTAAACGTTTCATGAGTGTGGGTTGCAGTTTGCTCGAACGGATAGAGTGTTCGCTTCTCGACATACTACGTGTAAAGTAGCAGGCTGTTCGAAGACCCCATAGAAAGTGTTTTATTATATTCCTCTGCGTTATCTAATTTCTTTGTCATATTTAATTATATGTTTTATTCTGCGGGCATTACTAGCTGGTGCGTGTTCGCGGTGATAATCATATTAATTTTTCTCTGTGTAGTACTTTGTTTATGCTTCAAGCGAACGTGATCAAAGTATAATTGTCTTTATGTTTGGCATTAAAAAACAGATTGTACACTAAATATAGTTT